AAATAGTCCGTAGCTGACTGATATGCGTGTAAAATATTTGAAGATCCGGTCTCATACCCGATCGGGTAGACCGACACACCCGATCGGGTATGAGTTGATGTTTTCACGTTCACAGAAGCTGCTGATGTACCTGATCGGGTACCCTAAATACTCAGTCGGTATATGATCCTGCCACCTCCATTTCCCTATAAATACACCCCTTTTTCTTCACATTAAAATCATTCCTTCTTCCATACTTGTAATCTCAGTTTAGAATAGTTATCTCTTATATTTTTCGAGCATGTTTAGTCTCCAAATGAGGAGCTAAACTTCCATTTCTTGTTTTTGCTCTTGAAGCTTATTGATTATTAAAGTTGTGAGTTATTTTCTTAACTTCTTCTCTTGATTATTAATTCTTCCCTTAATCCCATTCTATATTAATGTTGGGGGGTTGCTAAGTGACGATTAGTTAACGCTTCGACATTAATTATTACTACAAACGATCAACGAGTCGATGGTTAATCGTTGATGGTTTCACAAGTAAGTAACTTCAGTTTATTAATGCATGGTCGTGGTTAATAAACTTAAGAGGGATTAATTTTGTTGGTTAAACCGAAACTGTTGTGTTGAGGTTATCAATCTCAATTGATTTCATCAAGGAGTTAAAAAGATTAAATGCTACTATTAAATCAGTATATGACGTTGTTCTATATTTGATTAATAGTAAGAGTTGTTAATGAACGGTTGTTGTTAATAACTACCCTCGATGAACTAGAGATACTCCTCGATTGAGTATTCGAGAGGGGATAAGTTATAGATATAACAATGATCGACTAAAATATATCAACAAGTGGAAAGTGGCAAGGCCAAGTCCTTTTTATTCCTGAATTAAATCTCATATAAGTCATTCATCTCCGTGTTTAATTAAATTAAATCACTCAATCCCAAAATCCCCCCCTTTATTTACTAGTTTTATTAAAAAGATAATTATTCCTTTCCCTGTGGATACGAACTCTACTTCATTATATTACGTATAAGTGCTAGTATCGAATATTATTTTGACACACTACGACGAAGTGCTCGTCACTGACCCTCTCGAGAAGGCAGCAACTCTCAGAGAACTAGGCGGGCCTCATAGCCAACACCCGCCTCTATCCCGTTTTTTGGCTCATCTAGAACCATTTCGTCACTATTATTTGTCGCTTTCTCCTGCTCTTCCTCTCACATTCTTCTCCTCTTCTTGTCTGGTCATGTGCTAGATGTTCCAGCCTTCTCCGGCCTTTCCTCCCTCATTTTTTGGTAATGTCACTAGCTAGTCTTGATTCCCTTTCACCGTCCGTCTAGTCTACCAATCTGTCTTGCCCTACCTGCTTGTAGCCCATTCAAGCCGATGAAGACCCCTCTTGAAGAAGCCATTTGTTAGAAGAAATAATTACATAATTATGACTAAAATTAAGACTATTTGCAAAATTATGATTAGCGACTAGAGTGATAATGAAATTGTAGTAATTTATGTTCACTTTTTAAACTAAAGTTACTATGTCACTACATTGTAGTAACTAATAGTAATGCTTATGTTAATAAGTTTTATTTTAGTAATATTTTTGTAAAAAAAAACTTGTTAGAGACTGTGGGTCGGGGTTTCCTTCCTCCCACTCCAAGCCATGACCCAAATGTTTTGTCTAGAGTCTTATCCCCTTTCTTGTACGTCAATGGATAGAGAACTTGTCTGGATGACCAATGAGGATGTTTTTACTTGGACTGTAATTTGCTGGTTTGGTCTGATCTTGTCTGGTCTGGTCTGAATTGGTCTGGTCTGGTCTGGCAAGGTCTGGTTTCTTTGTATTTTTATAACTATCCAAGTCTGGTCTGGTCTGAACTGGTCTGGTCTGAACTGGTCAATTTCGATATTTAAAACCCACCTAATATCGATTTCCTGAAAATGTTTCTCTTTTGGTCAGAAACTGAGCAATTTTTCATATTTAAAATCCACCTAATATCGATTTCCTCACCTTTTCTGATTGTAGTTCCAGTGTTTAAAGATTTTTCCAAATCCAAATAGACTCTTATATGCATATATGCTTCCCACTCTTCATCAAACTAGCCTTCATCCAATTTTATAAAACTCCCCACAAAGTTACCAATTCTTTATGCTACCTCTAAAGCCATATAGCCGAACGACACATTATGCACCCAAACTCAAAATCCCGCTGTATTTAAAGACTCATGGGAATATCCACTGGTTTTATCGCCTTTAAAACCAATAGATTTTGTTCAAACAACTGCGGGTTAATCTCCAAAACACGATTCATATCAATTTTACGATAAAAAGTGAAAAGATTCTTATCTCCGATTTCCTTGATCTGGGCTCCTCTACCAGGACACCATATTGAAGTCATTAGATCTTTGAAAATATGAAGTTTCACCATTTTATCGGTGATAGTTGTGACCACCACCGGAAAAAACTCCCTATCGTCGTCCTGTTGTGCATCATCTTCACCCTCCTAAAAAACCAACTCACTCTCCTCTCCGTCAATCTAACTTGTTACATTGGAGTTCAGCTCCTCTCAATTCTTCCCATTTTTTATACTTCTTATCTATCTCTACTTTTTTCTCTATCTTAGTCACCAACCTACCCCACCTTAAATTTTCTCCTCTCTATATCTCTCCTAATGGAACTCTCCGGTCACGGGAGAGGATCCAAATTCGTTACATTGATGAACCATGTTTTCCATTCTGATCGATGGACGATCGCTACTCCTAATCCTTGCGCTTCACTTCGTGTTTAATCATCAAGAACAAACTCCTACCGCACCAGCCGCCAGAGGCTTGCAAAAGAGCTAACCCCTAACTATAAGAAGAGACAGCTTTTTCTGTAAGGCTTTTGGAACATATTTTGTAGTACGAAGTATTACTGTAATAATAATAGTTACATAATATTATTACAAAATATATGGAAAGATATGGAAATTCAACCATTCTTGGTGTACACGTTTTTATACCCATCAGTACACGCATGTGTCTGTGAGAGTTTTTTTGTCTGTGAAGCGCGGTCCACAGACATAAGTTGGCTTGTTTTGGGAGGTGGAAGATGCAGCTTCAGGGGCCTTTTTAATATTTGTAGTTTTTATTTTTTTTAAAGTGTTTTTTGTTTATTATTTTATTTTATTTTTGTCCGTTTTTATTAATAATTATAAATATGTTTATTAATTTATATGACTATCAATTTATAAATATTTTTATTAATTTATAAATAGTTTTACATCCCAAACTTTTAATGAGTGCATATCATTTGAGATTGATGTAGAACATCCAGTTTTACATGTATGTGCATACACAAAATGGTTTTGTTGAATCCTTAATTAATCTCTTTCCTAATCTTCTGCTTATTTTCTTCCATTTCATAACAATATTTGTATTATCAATAAAACTATTCCCTCCATATTTTAAAGTTTGCTACAATTTTCTTTTTGGGATGTATTTAAAATTTGGCTACATTTTCCTTTTATGGTAAGTTTTTACTTTAAAAATACACAACTACTCTTACTTTTTCTAAAAAGGATGACACCCCATCCTTGAGGGCCCCCCAACACCGACCGGACGACACGATGGGAGGATGTAAATTGAACTATAATCACAATCTGACAGATAGAGAGTGAGGCTCCGTCCCCGGTACTTGCAGAGGCCCTATGCATTTTTAACATAGTAACCTCTCATCGCAGTTGCCGAGATTTGAACTCGGGACATAACCCTTGTGGCACTCCCTCGCTACCAGTTGAGCTACGCCCACCGGTCTCTTACTTTTTCTACTTTTTATCTTCTCTTTCATACTTTTACACACTATAGTGCCAAACAATGCTAAACAGTGTCAAACAATGTACTCTGCAGTAAAGTCAAATTTATTTCTTTATGACACGTTTACTTCACGGGTTACTAAACGATGCTTATTAAGACCCGCGTTAATAAGCGGTGCATAAAATAAGCAATGTTGTAAGATCATGTTTACTTCAAAGGGTTTAAAACAACGTTTACCATTAAAATGTCCAAAATAACCCTATACATATATACACACACAAACATTCATGAACACTAGTATATAATATAATATGTGGGGTCACCTCGTACGTGTACCCATACCCCCTAGCCCCTAACCCCGCCCCCTATAACCCTCGGCTTTACCCCCACCCCTACACCCAATATACCCTAACTCCTACCCCTACCCTACCTTACCCCGACCCCACCATCACCCCTAACCACGACCCTACCCCACTCCCTACCACTTGCCTCTGCCTCGGCCCCACCCCGATCCCACCCCCTACCCCCACCCCTACCTACCTGCCACACCCCCTACCACATGCCCCTACCTCGACCCCCACCCCGATCCCGGCCCCACACTACCACCCATCCTACCCCCATAGGGTGGGGCCGGGGTGGGCCGATGTGGTAGGGTGCAGGGGGATTGGTATTGGGGCCCCTAGGGGCAGGGTTAGGGCAGGGGGTGGTAAGGGGCCTAAGAGTGGGGTGGGGTTGGGGTTTTAGGGTCATGGTACGACATGGATATGGGGGCGATATCGTAGGGGTTGGGGTAGGGTGGTCAGGGCCTAGGGGTAGGGTAGGGGTTGTAAGGGCCTAGGGGTGGGGTAGGATGGCCAGTGGGGTTGGGATCGGGTGGGGCCGAGGTGGGGGTCTTGTGGTAGGGGGTGAGGTACTGGTTGAGTAGGGTAGGGGTAAGGGGTAAGGTACGAGGATGGAAGATATTGGGTAGCGTGGGGTTGGGGTCGGGGGTGGAATCGGGGTAGTTGGGTAGGGCGGGGTGGGGTAGCAGGTAGATGTTTACAATAAAGTAAGGACAGGGGGTAAATTCGTAAACTGAAAAAGTTCAAAGTACCATTTAATTAATACATGTGGGTGACATACTTAGTAAGTGTCACTTTAAACACCTGATTAAAGTGTCCATTAGTAAAAGGCTTTTTTAAGCGGCGTACATGTAAACATATCTGGGAGGACTGAAAGTTTTTTAAAAGGCTTTTCATTGGTCAATGGGAGGACTGAAAGTTTTGGTGTTCTACTCTTTTGTTGAACTATCATATATTCCTATCAAAGTGGAAGAGACATCGGATGTTTCCAAGATTGGTCGAGTGCAGTAATGGTAGAACGCAGACCCATATGGTCGACGGTGCCGGCGACCCCTGTCTGCTCCTCACTTCCGATTCAAGGCCGCGCCTCCGCTGGACCACCGACCTCCACGACCGTTTTGTAGACGCCATTACTCAGCTCGGCGGCCCTAGTAGTCAGTACCCTTCTCACTGTACCTACTAACTCCAATTATAATTGCATTTTCAGTCAACTTCATCGCATTTTTAGCTAATTTCTCCCTCCCAAAATTTCTTCCAATGACTTTGCACCTATTAAGAAAGTGGAGTTGTATATTTGTGATTAATGTAGTAAAAGGGGGAGAATGTTACCCACACGAACCATTCGTTAAAAGGAAATGGGAAGAACATTGATAAGATTTTGAGAAATCCAAAGAAGAAGAGTGGGATTAAAATTTGGGGCAGAGGGTATTCAAAGGGATTAAGTTTTACCCTGATGGCCTGATGTACATGTTTCTTAGAACAAGGGTTCTGTCAAGAAAATTACCCACCAGTAGCAGAGAGAAATTTCCTTAAAAAAGCTATCTTTAGCACCCTTTTTAATACCACTACGGACTAGTATGATTTACTTTAAAGTGAGCACAAATTGAGAAAAACATATTTTTTAATTCATTATGAATGAGTAAGATACTTAAGGTTTTATAAAAGCATTATGAGTAAACAACAAATAAACAAATAAACTATTAAAAGAGAATAGTTTTCATGAGGGTGCGTGTCAGTGGATACAGATATGGGTGACCTATAACGAAAAATATGAATCTGGTGTTCTTGATGAAGAAGAAGAAGTATATGCTGAATAAGTAGATGGACTGATGGAGGTGAAAAAGTTAATTCCAAATAGTCAATACGTTGATTATACAATTGAATATGACAATGTGTTTGCAAATAGACTACCAAGATATATATTAAGAATATTAATTTAACGGGAGACATGACATGCTATATGCCTATACTATTGCAAATTTGCAATCTTTGTTTTTTGTTTTGTTTTGTTTTGTGTGTGTTAATGTACCATGTTTGTTGTTGCATTCTATGATGTACACTTTTTGATTATGTATGTTTTTTATTGTACTACTTGAAAATGAGGTATACAATCCCATTTTTATAGCGTTAAAAAAATACACAAAATAACTTGGACAATATGTCAATAACATTTAAAAAATAAAAAAGTTGCTGAAATTAGGAATATGGTCCTAATGCCGCCTGATAGAGAGTTGTGTGTGTTTAGTTGGTTAGGGTGTGGTTCTGTTGTGTTTCATGAGTAAACAACAAATAAACAAATAAACTATTAAAAGAAAATAGGTTTCATGAGGGTGCGTGTCAATGGATACAGATATGGGTGACCTATAATGAAAAATGGAGCCTATAATGAAAAATATGAATCTGTTGTTCTTGATGAAGAAGAAGAAGTATATGCTGACTAAGTAGATGGACTGATGGAGGTGAAAAAGTTAATTCCAAATAGTCAATACGTTGATTATACAATTAAATATGACAATGTGTTTGCAAATAGACTACCAAGATAGATATTAAGAATATTAATTTAACGTGAGACATGACATGCTATATGCCTATACTATTGCAAATTTGCAATCTTTATGTTTTTTTTTTTGTGTGTTAATGATCCATGTTTGTTATTGCATTCTATTATGTACACTTTTTGATTATGTATATTTTTTATTGTACTACTTGAAAATGAGGTATACAATCCCATTTTTATAGCGTTAAAAAAATACACAAAATAACTTGGACAATATGTCAATAACATTTAAAAAATAAAAAAGTTGCTGAAATTAGGAATATGGTCCTAATGCCGCCTGATAGAGAGTTGTGTGTGTTTAGTTGGTTAGGGTGCGGTTCTGTTGTCTTTCTTCGGGTGAATTGCTATAATTTCTTCGGCTGAAATTAGGAATATTGTCCTAATGCTGCCTGAAATCAGGAATATGGTCCCAATTGCAATGTGTTGCGGTTACGCTGCCACGACTGGAATATTGCGCGTTGCGCTTTGGAATCTGCCCATGGTGTACTGCTGTTTCATTAACTGTGTGTAGACTTCTAATGCTTGAATTCTATTTGGGTATATTTTAATATTGCCACAGGTGAATCTAATTGATGAAAATGGATGTTTTGACTAAGTTTCTTAGTGACATTTGGGTTGATGCGAGCAGTTTTGGACTTTTATCATATCACATCCAACCAAGACATGTGAAGAAAATGTTAAACCACTTTAATGAAGAATATGCTAATAAGTAGGAAAAATTCCTTTAACATTACTAAGAAACTATCCGATTTGAATAAAGTGTTAGTTTTTAATTTTATGACAAAAATGTATTCAATGTAGCTATGAATGTCATGACCAATTACCAATATTAACTACCAAAAGGTTGGCAGTTTTTTCCCAAAAAAAACAAAATCTAATCCGTTCAATAGGTATTTAATTAGTACAGAGTAATTTATAAGGGAAATTTCTCTAGTATAGGTTCAAAGAGGACTTGGAGTGAACAGCAAAGAATTCACATGGACAACAAGTCAACAACATGCACAACTTTTTGCAACAGATATAGACTTAGCGTTTTAGGGCATTCATATAACCATATTCTAACATTGTGTATAACCTCTTAATAGACTCAGAGTAGCAACTAGGAAAATACAAGAGATCAAACTTAATCTTATAGAGCGGAAGGAGTTTCTATTTAGATGCACTTTTTGCATTATTTCAGTAAACATAATAAAACTTTGAACAATGTGGAACTTTTAGTGCCCTCTTTCATTTGTTTGTCTATCTGCTTGCAGAAGCTACTCCAAAGGCCATCCTGCGCACGATGAGTGTAAATGGACTTACTCTCTTCCATTTGAAGAGTCACCTCCAGGTATGTTTTAGTTTGCTAGTTTTTTTCTTCTATCAACACCTTGCCACCTTGGTAAATATAGAGGAAATTAGAGGGAAAAGGTAAATGTATTAATATGGCTTTCTGTTTTTTTTTTTTTTTTTTTTTTTTTTTTTGCAGAAATACAGGCTAGGTGAGCAATCTCAGAAAGATATTTTGTGGGTTTCTACAGATGAAAGGTGTTTTGATTTTAAAATTACCCTCAAGTCCCTTAACACGCATGTTTAAGCATAACATAACCCAATTTTCTTGAAACTAAGTAAGAAAATCTAAGTCCTGCCACCTTCTCAGAGAGAGATAATATTAAAAGTCTTGAGGCTCAATATGTTTGGTGAGCTCCGATTCATAGTATACTATCAGAGAAGACTAGCTGTCTTGTTGAATTGATATAGTGATAAGTTTGTGTTCGAAGTACATGTGATTTTTTTCTTTTTATTGGCTGTTTTAACCCTTAGCTGACATCTTTTCTTGCTGACTGAAAGGGCTTTCAACTGCATACCCTTTAGAAATTTCTGCTCCTCCAAACCTTCTCGCTCCAGACAGAAATGAGTAAGAGTTCATTGTTTTCTTTCCCTACTGTGAAATTCATAGTAGGTAAATCGCTAAAATTTTAGTAAAGGCTTTGAACTCAAAGGATTGACATCGGACTTCAGGGGTTACGGAGTCAAGGAGGCTTTGAGAGTTCAGATGGAAGTTCAAAGTGAATTGGACCTACAAGTTGAAGTAAGCTTCTTTCACTGTTTTGAAACATCTGATTTACTTCAACTCTTTTTTCCAACATAATTAAGCTCTGGATATAATTTAGGTATTTTAGCAAAATGCCAAATGCCATTTATTTAGAGGTGTAATGAGGGATGGGATTTTCTTCAGTGCTGAATTCATTGCTTATATGTTTTGAAATACTCCATTATATAATGAGAGTAATATATCCAGTCCAAACTGAGTATAATTATTTTGTTGCTAATACATTAACTACGTAGTCAGGGGCGGATGTAGTTATAGATTAATGGGGGCACATGCCCCCAATAACTACGTAGTCAAGAGCAGGTAAGAGAGGTGCTCTTGCTGCTTTCACAGCACCACAGGATGCTAAGTCTCGGCATTTAACGTCTGACGTAGGTCCATCTAATGCAGGGAAGAAGCACAGAGCTGGAAAAAAGCGTGCACCTTCCCCACTTCGCAAAAAGCAACTTGCTGTGAAGCGGAAAGGCTTAAACTGCTCATCTGGCCGGGTAAGGGAGATAAACCAACTGGTAGAAACCTAGCTCACTCTGTTCAACGAAACACATTTGCTGCTCCGGACGTGACGAAGGATGCTAAGTCTCGGCCTTCGACGTCTGATGTATGTTCGTCTAATATCATGGAGAAGCGCACAATTTCCTTGCTTTGTGAAAAGTAACTTGCCAAGAAGAGCGTAAGTATAAATTGCTCGTTAGGTCGGGCAAAAGGGAGATAACCCAATCACTAGAGACTTAGCTCTCTCCATTCGTTTCCGTGCAGATATGTCAGCTTGGAGAAGCGCAATTGCTGCCCTGTCCACGACGAAAGATGTTAAGTCTCGGTCTTCGATGTTTGGCTCAGGTCCATTTGGTATTAGGGAAAAGCGCAGATCCTCCTCTTCTCGCAAAGAGCAAGTCATTAAGAAGAGTAAGGGCTTGAAGCTCATGATCAGGCCGAGTAGAGACATGGCCTGACCAATAGAGGCCTAGCTCGCCCTGTGCTCCTTTTGTCAGTTGTCCAGCTCCTGCTCTCAGCATCTCGTTGGTCATCGGGGTGGGACAAACAGCAGACGTAGTTCCCTTCTTGATATCTTTTTAAAGTCGGGAGTATCTAACAGCTACAAGTCTCTTCCCCTAAGTAGAGCGCTCCATTCGGGCTCACACCAAGGTAGGTCGCCTCATCCTTCGCCTTTGGTATATTGTCTGAGATTTGCCATCCTGACACATTTTATTGCAGGGACTGATGGACATGACTACATCGTTTCGTACTATGAATGATAAGCATGAGGATCTCTGGCATTAAGTCGATGGAATTCATCACCCGACAGTCCATGTTCAATAACAAGAGGACCCTGAATAAGACAAAAGGACCCTGTCCGAGCTTCAGTCGAAGTATGACCAGTTGGAGTCCAAGTATAATTAGCCAGAAGCATCGTTCAAGGATTCAAAGCAACAAACAATTGTGGCATTTAAGGCCCCCCAGAGTTATCGGAGTTTGTCACTTCTAGGATGGAGGCTCGATGTTCAGAGCAGGTTCACGATTGGCTGCAGACCAAGGAGGGTCAAAATTGGCACAATGAGCAAGACTTGATCTCTTTCAGGTGTGGCCGATATGATATGCAGAAGACGTTGTACGAGAGGCTGACGGGGTGTCTTCATGACTTCGACCCCGAGGAGTTTGTCTTATTTGAGCTCGTGTTCGATCCTGACGATGAGGAGGAGACTAGGAGGAGACTGGCGACAATGATGACTGTGACCCTTGGTCGCCTCGGTTCTTCCCGGATGCTCCCGATGATATGGAGGGAGTTATACACGACTTTGATCTCGAGAGCATCCTCCATGATGTTCCCGCGAAGATGCCCGATCCTTAGATTGTACACTGTAGCTTTTTTACATTAGTTTTACGAGGAGATGCTCAATACTTTACTTGGCTTCCCAAACTTATGTTTTTGAATTCTCATTCTTTATTCATAAATAGTTTTGATGCTTGAGGAAAAATTAGAAGGACAAATAATGCATACGTACAAGATCAAACATCGAAACAAACTATGAATAAAGAATGAGAGTTCCAAACATAAGTGTGGTAAAACAGAGTAAAGTAACGAGTTTCTCCTCGGAGAACTAAATTAAGAAAGTTATGATCTACAATCTAAGGATCAAGCATCTTCTCAGTAACTCACGGAAAATGCTACCGAGATCAAAGTCGTGTACAACTCCCTCCAAATCATCGGGAACATCCGAGAAGAACCGAGACGACCAAGGGTTGTGACCATCATCATCGTCAGTCTCCTCATCGTCATCGTCAGGATAGGACACGAGCTCAGGTATGCCAAGCTTCTCAGCGTCGAAGTCGAGAAGACGCTACGTCAGCCTCCCGTACAACGTCTTCTGCATATCATATCGGCCACACCTGAAAAAGATCAAGTCTCATCGCGCCAATCTCGACCCTCCTTGGTCGGCAGCCAATCGTGAACCTGCTCTGAACGTCGGGCCTCCATCCTATAAGTGACAAGCTTCGACAATTTCGGAGAGGCCTTGAACACTGCAATTGCCTGTTGCCCTGCATCCTTAAACGATGCCTGTAGCTGGTTATACTTGGACTTCAGCTGATCATACTTTGACTGAAACTTGAACATGGTCCTCTTATCTTCTTCATTGACTTGACGTTGAAGATCCACATGCTTATCAAGTTATCATTCATAACACGTAATGATGTAGTCAAATTTCACTATTTCATACAAAAGATATGTGTTAAGGATGGTAAAGTTCAGACTATACCAAAGGTGGAAGGTGAGGCGACCAACCTCAATGGAGCGCTCTACCAAGGGAAGAGCCTGATAGCTGTCAGATACTCCGTCTCTCAAAAGATAAAGGAGGGAACTATGTTTGTTGGTTATCCCACCTCGATGACCAAAATGATGCTCGGAGCTGGATAACTGATGAGCGGGGCACGAGTCGAGATAGTCCTCTGTTGGTCAGGTCCTGTCTCTTTACTTGGTCTGATGGTCAGCTTCAGGCCCTTACTCTTCTTAATGATTTGCTCTTCGCGAGAAGGGGAGAATTTGCGTTTTTCCCTAGTACCAGATGGACCGTCAGACGTCGAAGACCGGGACTCAACATCTTTCGTCGCGGCCAAGGCAGCAAGTGCGATTCTCTTTGCCATACATTTGCTCTTTGCAAAGTAGAGAAACTCTGCGATTCTCTGCGACATTAGACATACCTGCATCTGACATCGAACCCAAGACTTAGCATCCTTCGTCACGTCAAGGGTAACAAATGCGTTTTTCCGACCTGTCATACATACGAGGAAATGAACAGTGTGAGCTAGGTTTCTACCAGATGGGTTATGTCCCCTACATCAGACAGAGACATCTTTCCGGCTGGAACAAGGAAGAGCTAGGGCTGCTAATTGGACCACCAAGACCCCGGATTGCTACCTAAACGAAGAATACTTCACTTTCACAAGTGGTGTGATCAAAGCAGACAACTATGCGACCTACCAGCCAAACTAACGGACAGGTCAACTCTAAAATAGCTCAACTATTCCATTTAGCTATGTCTACTACCCGATTAAGAGAGTGGCATACTCGTGTTGGGATATTGGACCGGGTCCAGTACTATCGGCACGTTATACCCGAGTGATCGAGTCTGGGCCTGAGCAGGCCTAGGACATACCATGGGTAGCGGAAATGGGCCCGAAATTATTTATTTATCAGTCCAGCTGGCCCGCTAGTGTCGAAATAGCTATTAAATTGTGCCAGACCCAAATAGTATTAGTTATTGGATTTGTGGTAGATGCCTATAAATAAGCCATCACCCCTCCCATGTGTTCACTATGCTATTTTTATTATACTGAAGTGCTGCCACTTTCTTTTTCGATCTAATTTCTACCAACAGTTCAATTTTTATATGGAATTCGACTTACGATTAATGAAAGAGAAGACTCTAACTTTTTATCCTATATAGTAGTATCACAAGTTACACAAAAAAGGTAAAAAAATCTTTTCAGAGTGAATGAATTTATCGGGACAAATAATGATAGATCATCTTGTTTGAAAAAATGTGATATATTTTGATCATAGTTGAAGTAATATTCTCACTAAAAAGTGTGGATGAAATGTATTTAGTAGAGTGAGAAATATATGAATGCAAATCACATAACGTTTTCCTTAAAATAAAATAAGAGATAGTTTTAAAAAGTGTAAAAGTGTTTAGAAATAAAGGAAGAGCTTTCTTTTATTATAAAATACTACGTAACATCTTGTGATTTGAGTTTTATTTGGTTTAATTAACCATGTTTTACATTTACGTTATATTTTATTAAATGGTAATACCAGGTAGCTGGTGCCCCCTATAGCATATTTCCTAGATCTGCCCCTATATGTAGTAATGCTGATTATTGAATAACTATCCTACTTCCTACTAAAATTCAATATAGTGCGTAACACAAGTGCACGATAATAAGATTTCCAACCTACCTAAGTAACACGGAGCAGCTAAACTTCAAATGTATTGCTAGGTTATAGCCTTATAGACATGTCATAATGTATGCATCACAACTGAGTTGTTAGAACCTCCCATATTGGAATATTAAATAGAGAATGATGGATTAATATGATTTTGTGTTGAATTAGTTAATAGATTGAATTCAAATTTTGTGTGGTTTGACCCAAGATTTTTTGGCCCTGTTTAGTGACCCCAATCGACTCCTGAACTCTATCACGGTGCATGAGTCTCAAGCCTATTTGTCCATCTAGAAATCCTCCCTCAGAGGTCTATTGGAAATTAAAGGGAAAATGATGGGTTAATATGATCTTGGGTTCAACCAGGCAATACAACAACATCCAAGCCTTAATCCCAAAAGATTCAACTAGGCAATAGATTGAATAAAATCTTTTTGCGTGGTTTAACCCAAGTGCCTTATGATCCAATTGAGTAATCCTTACGTAATCCTGAATAAGATCTTTTTGTGTGGTTTAACCCAATTCTATGTTCTTTCACCTTCATAGTTAATGGTGTACTGTAATGTGTGTAACTACTTGATTTTGATAGTAGATGAGACTATGGGAGTACTGGTGCTATCAAAGTTATGCATAACAGCAGTAGCTTATCATAGCTGGTTCTCTATATTACTACACAGGTAGAAAAGCGCTTGCAAATTCGTGAGGATGCACAACGAAGGTATCTTACCAGCCTGCTTCAGGCTGCCTGCAAACTTTTTGCAGATCAGATTATAGGAGACTCTGTCACAGACAATGAGGGAGAAGATTTTCAAGAGCGGAGTACAGAGACAGCACACAATCAATCTGCCAAGTGAAGCATCCCCGACAGTTAATCCGCAATGGCATGATGGTTCCACTGAAAGCTGCCTGACATCACATGAGTGCCCTTCTTCGTTGTCTCTAGAATCCTCATCTCCCAGAGGAGTGATACAAAGTTATGACATGGATTTGGCAGCAGGTACATTGTATGGCAGGAAGCAGATATGAGAACTCCCAATGTGCTTTTTAAATGATTATTGTACAAGGAGAGAGATCATTATTTATTCTATTTTCCATCATTTTATTTTATTATCTAAGTTGATGTATGTCATTAAGCTCATATCAGCTGCTGATGATACTAAACTGTGCCTGCTTAGCTCCCATGCATATTACATATTTACTTATTAACATGTGAGTCATGTGACTCAAGCTCAGCTCGACAAGGATCCAGCTAGAGCTCGAAGGCAGCCAGGTTCTAGCTCAATTTCAAGTTCAAAACACTAATGAGTCAAGTCTAAGCCAAGCTTTAAAGTAGGGCTAATCTTAACTATTTGTACGCCCGAGTCAAACATAAAAGAAGAGGGTCCTGTATGATTTCAATTTTCTTTCCTTGACTTTAGAAGTTAAAACAATGAAGTGGCGAATGAAACAATGAAGTAAAAGAAAGTAAAAGAATTCATCATATTTTTTTTCAAATTAGAGGACTAATCAAATAACATCACATGTTTAGGACAAACTCGATTTTTTACCAATTCTGAAATAGGATAGAATGTTTTCTTTTGGATTGAAATTTGCTGGTTTGGTCTGAACCGGTCTGGTATGGTCTAGTGAATGCCTGATCTCTGTGTATTTTATAACTACGGAAGTCTGGCTTGGTCTGATTTGGTCTGGTTTGGGATTGAAAACAGTCCAAAAGAAAACATCTTTAGGTTATATTCAACATAGAAGAATAATTAAAATGCTCAAAACATTGAAAGGTGTGAAGTATTATAACACAAACTTGTACGGAGTATAGCTCAACGTTATATAAAAAGTTATGTTAGTATTATGACTATATTTTTTTCTTACACAAATGAAAATTTGTGATGTTCATTACATAATTTACAATACTCAACATTTTTTAAAATGCACTTAAAATTCTAACCTTTCATTTGTGAAATTAGTCATGGACCCGGGCCGGGCCCGGCCGGGTTTTTTTTTTGGGAAGGAAGGCCCGGGACCGGCTCGGGTAGCCACCGGGTCCGGTCCGGTCCGGGCCTCCGGTTCGGTCATATTTTTTTTTTGCTTTCCTAACCCCCCCCCCCCCCCTCACCCCCCACCTTCCTCACCCCCAAACCCCTCCTAACATCAAGCCCAACCCGGCTAACCCAAAAAATGAAAAAAAAAAATAAAAAAAAAAATCAATTTGGCCCGGGCCCGACCCGGTCGGGCCGGTTTGCCAAATACAAGGCCCGAGCCCGGACCCGCCCCCCCACCGGGCCTAGGCCCGACCCGGACCCGAGAACTGGGCCGGTTCCGGGCCTGCACAGTGGCGGGCCGGGCCGGTCCCGGGCCGGGCGGGCCGAACCGGGTCCATGACTACGTGAAATGAATAATGTTGTCCCATTTCTACGTAGTTGCAACACTTTTAATTTGATTGTTACCAACATACAACTTTCACATTTAACATATTTGATTGACTATTAGTAAAAATTATAAACAAGACATTATAAAAAATTAACCTTAGACAATTTTTATAATCCTATTCACTTTTAATTTGATTTTTTCTTATGTAATTGACTCCTTGTGATGTGTGGCATGCTTATGTGATTCACTTTTAAAACTACGAATGAACGTTTCACCCGGCAGCAACGTTCGAATTTTAACTACACACTTTCTTGATGTAAGCGTTTACGCGTCCTGAGCTGTTTTATTCTTGCTAACACTATTTAACCTATTTAGCATGTTACTCCTGGCGATCAACCCAACGGGAACAAAATGTATTTAATTAGTAAGGAATTGTATTTAATTGCTCAAGGTTAGAGCTGAAGAAATCCATTTTCATCCTTCGAGATGCCAATTTCTATGAGGGTTTTATTCGAATAGTTGAGAAAGGAGTCAACTCTTTATTCATACATGAAGGGGGGAAATGGATTGGGAATTAATAGTTTCCTGAAAGGGATCACAAGAGCAATTACTTTGATGAAAGCAGTCATAATCAAGGAACCAATACTGATAATTGATCATGCTACATGTGAGGTCTTATCAGGTAATGCGGGTCCCAACTTGGAGTTGGATATTGCTAGATGGGAATTGATATCACTCCTGTAAGACTATTTTTCAATTTCCGAAACCTTGCTACAAGTTGATATTTTGCATTCCAGTTCTTTTGATAAGTTGATTCCTAAAATACTATATCATGGATAATCATCAACTTCTCCAACGTTTATAGTTTTTTTCTATAAATATGAAGTGCCTTATTACACAACTTAGAATACACTTCGCGAATTACCTTCTTCTTCTGGATTACATTTATATTTTTTTCCCTTTTTGTTCTGCTTTCTATCCTATCACCGACGAGATCATTATATCATGGGGAAGGTTTTTGGTTGCAAGAAACAGTTTCTCAAAGACAATGTTGACGCGTCTCGCGCTGAGTTATTTTTGCTAATCGTTTAGCAAGTTTTAACGATGAATTATCCAACATTCTCCAAAAAGTATTTTTTCTTTGGATAATGCTACTGAGGCCATTTCCATCCCAGAAACTCCATGAGTAAAGCCTCCATCGTCAAACAATTTGCTGCCACGCCACTTGAGGTCGCGTCGTTCCATGTGAAACATTTTGCGAACATATCCAAGATAGAAGTCTTATTGAACGCAATTTCAAACGTTGATATGGGTGTTTCTTGTCCACACTCGACATGCCACTGCCACCGACTCGGAGCCGAACAGAAAAACTATGGTTGTGCAAAACTGCTATGTTGGGTTAAGGGCCCAAGCCGAGGTCCGGCCCACTAACCCATCTTGCCAGACGAACGTCCGGTTAGGACACTAGGCCAGCCCACAGGCCCATATTCCCTGAGGATGGACGAACGTCTGGTGTTGGAGGACTCAGGCCCAGCAGCTCATCCCGACGAACGTCTATGCAGGGACAAGGAGCAGAACCACGGGCCACCAGGGATGGCGACGAACGTCCACAGAGCAAGCCTGCGGTCATCGGGGGAAACCCAGTCCACATGGTGAGTATCCATCAAGGCCAGGAGACGAACAGCCGATATCTCCCAAGGGTCCCTTGGAGCAATCCAACTCACTTCCCGGTGGACGAACGTCCCCACTAATCCGGCGGGAAACCGAGATTCTGGCGGGAAGTGCATTTAATGCTAAAGATTTGGTAGTTGGGACACCAGCGGTCCACAGGCTGCCACGTCACTACAGCCACCTGCCCATTGGCGGGTATAAATAGAAGCATTTATTCCATTGTAAAGGGTTGGCAACTTTCTATTCTTAGCATACTAGCTTCAGCATTCTTACTCGCAGCATTCCTAACTGCCTAGTAAGACGAACGGCCGACGTGCCTTTGTTAGCAAGTAGATTGTACTTAGGGGAGTTATTACGAAGTTAATAATACCTATTTACATTGCCTGCTATTACTCTTGTTTCCTGATTCATCTAATAGTTGTTGGGCTAGATAACCATACATCCACTCCATTCGAAACCTTTGGGCTTACGTGTTGGGTCCACGGGTTGAAGGAATAAACCTCAACACTGGCGCCGTCTGTGGGAAACTGAGCGAAAAGTTTCCAGAAACTCTCCCAAACAGCTACTAAGTCTACCTACTGCAAACACGATGTCAGGAAGCAACACCCAGCGTGATCTCTCCGAGCGTCTGGAGTCGAGCCGGCGGAACCGCGGCCAGAACTCGGAACTATCCGCAACAATATGGACTTCAGGGGGAAACGGGGGTATCACTGACCTCATTCCCCTGGAGGCCAGGCAGGATCCCCGCCTCATGCGTGAACTCGCAGACACCATGCGTCGCATGGCGGACGAGCGGGAGGCCCGAGAGCAGGTGTACTCTGCAAGCACTCAGCGAACGCCCCTCTCTCCCATACGCCGCATGCAGTCGTACAATGATACGACGGGATCCAGTGACCACCGGCCCTCAGTCCACGAGCGGCTAGGTGGGGGTTCAGGCTCCCGTGAAACGGGAGGGCGGACCAGGGTTAGCATCGCTGCATCCAGGGCTCTCACACCATCGATTCCTCGCCAGATTCCGCGGGGAGACGAGACCCCAAGGGTCAACACCGTTGGACGACGTTTCCAACGGCGAGGTGCGCAGATCTTCAGGCGGCCGCACGATGTTGTGGCCGCTCAGCAGAATGCCACCCCCGAAGCCGCGCCCCCTGTGTCCCCCGGAAGGGCCGCACAGGACGCGCGGCTGGAAGCCATGGAGAGGCAGATAGCCGAGATGAACAGGCGGGCGGACGCCGGCTCGGCCTCCTTCTCTCTCACATCACCTTTCACTCCACGGGTGATGAGCGTCGAGATCCCCCGGGACTGCAGGCCCCCGGGGAACTTGGTGTATAATGGGGCTGGTGATCCTAAGGCCCATCTGATAAGCTACCAAGGGAACCTGTCCATGCTGGGAGCATCGGACGAGGCCATCTGCAGATTGTTCTTCAGCACCCTCAGGGGGCCAGCTCAGGAATGGTTCGGCCAGTTGAGGCCGGGCACCATTGACTCATATGAACAGCTTTCCCGGCAGTTCATGGCACAGTTTGCTGCCAGCACCACCCCCAGGAAGGATGTCACGGCACTCGCCCACATCAAGCAAGGGCGGGACGAACCGCTGGCTAGGTTCCTGGTGAGGTGGAGGGACGAGGTACTGCAGGTCGACGATCTGGACGAACGTCTGGCCACCAACATGTTCACCAGTGCGCTGGCCACAGGGGATCTGTATCGGGACCTAAGGAGGAATCCCGGCACCAACTACACCGAGGTTTTGGCCCGGGCACAAAAGTATGCCTCCATTGAGGAGGAGATCAGGCAGCGGGACGGAGTTCCCGCGGCCCAGCCTAGGAAGATGGCGGACAGGCTCGGACCTAAACCGGGACCCGGGCCCTCTCCCCCAAGCAAAAAGAAGAGGGTGGACGGGGCGATGGTCCCTTGGAAGGCTCCGTCCGGGGACAGTCAGACGCGGCCAGACGACCACTATATACCTTTGGCCTATCCAGTGAGCCAAATCTTCGAGGCCATCAAGGACAAGGGCCTCCTGACGGAACCCCAAGATATGAAGAAGTATATGGGGCTTGACCAATCGGCTTACTGTGAATACCATCAGAGGGTCGGCCACCTGACGGACAACTGCAGCCAATTAAAGAAAGCGATCGACGAGCTGATACGTCAGGGGTACTTGGGCGAGTTCACCCAGCTGCTGAACAAAAACAGTCAGCAGAAGCCGAACCCAAGGCAC